TTATTCGTTTTTTATTTTAAAAATAGATTACCTATAGATTGTAGTTCTCTATGTTAAACTTGCCGTTTTTCATGAACCTACGGAGATACTATGATTATCAGATACATTATTTATTAGTATAATCATCACGTTGCTGTGTTGTAACGGAGCTACGGAGATACCCTTTTTTTAGTAGTTCTCCGACATCTGCATTTTTAGAATTATTTGACATTTTAATATGTGCACAATTAGCTGGAATATCTCAATTGGTTAGAGCTTCTGCTTTTGTTGCCACAAGGTTGAGGTTCAAGTCCTTCTTCCACGTCTGCATTTTGACTATAAATTGTCTGATTATGTTAGAACATGACTTAAGGTCATTGCAGATTTTCTGTATGTATATAACATGAAAATTTAGTTATTATTAGATAAACTTGAAGTGGACATAAGGGTTCAACACATTGTACCACGGCTGGCTACTTAGACATCAACCTGATCATGTTACATTAATCTCCTTCCACTTTCAACCTGGAATCACCTCTTCTACTGTTTGTGGAGTTGCAAACACATTGACGCGAGTAATTGGACAGCAGCGCCTCAGCAGACAAATGCCGCAGCAGTTCGGACAGGGGGTGCAGAAGTAAACAGTAGACAACAACAAGCGAAAGATGCAGAGTGGCATGAGCCTTTGGTCTCTCACCAACAAGTCTGCATGAGCAGCAACTTTCCCTACATGCATGGCGTACTTGATGAATGTTGCCCCTGCCTTAGCTATCTGGTCAAACCTGCCGAACAGACTACACTTTTAAGTCTCTTACGCACATCTTACTAAGCAGGTAATTCTCTTACCTTAGCCGTCAAGAGGTTATTTGACATTTTATTTGACATTTGTCAGAATTCTTCTTCTCAATTTATTAGACGATAGAATTTTTAAATCTTTCGTTTTTTATTAGTTCAAGTGTTTCTATACAGCCAAATATACGTTTCTTGCAGATAAGAAAGAGTTGAGCCCTACTTGATTTATACGTGATCATCGTCCTCTTACAGCAGAAGGAGTTGAGCCCTACTTGATTTAATGTGAAAGCCTGGATCAAATGTTTCTAACGAAAACTATGGGCATGTATGTATCTGTTTTGCTTCATGGACAATACTACTTTGAAAGGTTTTTACACTGAACTCATGTTACTATTATGCTGCAGATTATCACCAACCTCGAAAGGATGAAACTTCCAACCATATACTCCCATGTGTGGGGATAGCAGGCAAATGCAGAAGCAGGAATAGATTATATGATCGAGACAGGGAAATACAGGGGCACAAGCAGAGACAGGTGTAGGGGGCCTAAAGATACCGACACATCACACATGCAGCCACACAGGCATATAGTGAGTCTTGGGATAGAAGTAGCTAGGAGCAGGAGTATAATTAAACGAGCCAAAACTTGAGAACATATATAATCAGAGTGTTGTCCAAGTCCTCACAGAGGTGGAACCATCTGTGTCAAGCAATCTAGCCAATTTGAAACACCGATCTGGAGACGTGCAATTTGAAAGGTATAACCATAGATTTGCAGCCCACCATCCATATTATACATGTGGAAATTAAGCATGATAAATGCACATACATTTTAATAGCTAACATAGCTTTTTTTTTTTTTTCTTTCTAATAGGTGATAGGAAGTCAAGCTACATAC